TTTTTTTTTTTTTGTCATCAGGCTTTTTGGCAATTCCATAAATGATTGAGAAGAAAATAAAAGAAACGGTGAACATTTTTGTATAATTTTTTAGTTTGCTACTTTTTCAATGCAAAATGAAACCAGTCTAGATGCCGGTCTAGATGGGAAAATCTACACCACAGTCAATATCGATTTCAGCCAATCAACTTCGTGAATTCGGTAGTTCCCAGTCCTTGTGAGACACAGCCATATAATAACTTCAGTTATTGATAATACATCTACATGTACATATTAAACAGTCTGATGCAAAGAATTCTATTTGTCACTTTGCTCTTAATTCTTTTGAACTCTTGAAGGGCTGGGCTTCACAGAGAACACCTGTCTTAAATGAGAGAGATGACAAAACATCTAATTGTAAATTAATTACATGCAATTCAATTCCAAATATTCTGAAAGCACATAATCTTAATGTACATTTTCCAAGCATTTGCTGTAAATTTTGAGCAAGTTTCCAAATTGGTCCGAAAAACTTCAAACTCCAGGCAAATGCTCTAACCAATCGAACAGAGATGATCAATGTCTTTACAATAAGGTGGTCCGGGACACATCATTATCTGTCTATATGATGCTGCGCATACCACAAAGAGAGAACTTAGTTCTACTGACCTGCTGGGATGATTCCTATGGGAATATTTAGAGGTACTGGCTGAAAGTCGCGTGATGTTGAATCCAACATAGCATCTTGCTGGGCTCTTATGACAAGACCATTTAACACTTCATGAAACATACCATCTCCACCAACAGAGACCACCCTAAAAATGCAAAAGTGTAATTAATCTTGAGCCTCATTTCCCTTCTAAGACAAAATAATTAATAAGGATTAGATAATTAACAGAGCATTAGTGTGGAGGCTTTTTTTGTTTTCATTTCTTCCCTGATTTGTAGTTATACTTAGTAGACATTAATTCAATTTGACTGTTTCCAAAAGACACATCAATTGTAATTTAATGATGTGTTGTTTCTAGAATTTAAGTTAGTACTGTACACATTTTCATACCCATCAATTTTCTCCAGACCTTCTCCAAGAAGGTAGTCTCTTGCATGATTAGCTTTCTGAGTAACTGAAGAAAAAAGGTACATTTTGTTCAAAAATATGGAATGAAAAGTTCTGTTAGTAAATTACAAGAAATAACTATATTAACTAAATAATCTAAAAACCAGAAGATAATTTTATTGAGATTTATCATTATTCAATGTCAATGCATTAAGTTAATATTATTCACCTTAATTGCCTCTGGGTCATTAACATTTGGGCAAATAAAGTCAAAAGAGGCCCAAGTACTAAGATTAATATTAAGTCAAGTACTGTAATACATACAGAAAAAGAAGGGGAAAAACATTTTTTTCTAACAGTAGAAATTTTGTGACAAGTTACGGTCACCTCATAATTTAATACTGAACAGATACTTTCTTAGGACTCACTTGCATGATGCAAATAAATCGTTAAGCTTCAAATTGTGCAGTTCCAGAAAATATCCATACTTCAGCCACAGAAGGGATTGGAATTTCCTAGGGTAAGTGGGGGGGAGAGGGTCTGTAAGGCCAAATTTCAAGAGGGATGGAGGGTCTTGGAAAAAATCCCTTCGATGGGGAGGTGTGGATACTTTCTGGAACTACACATTATACTGTAACTAGCAATTGCTTTGAGCAGTAAATTAATGGTCAGTGCATAAAATTATGAACAAATATAAGACAATATTTAGTTCTCATCATGGGTAATTTAAGCTAGAGGGTACTGTCTAATCAATACAAAAATTATGTTAGAACCTTCAAACCAGGGATAAATGGTATGAGAATTTCCTGCCCAAAGAACATTTCTGGAAAATCTGGACTCCAAATTGTTAAATTTCTGAAATTGTACAACCCATTCATGACCACCAACAATAAATATAATTCTGGAAATTCTGGGGATCTAAAGCTTTTTCAAGCTCTAATTAACGGGGTCAAGGCAATAAAAAATAATTATTAATAGTGGTAAAACCAATTATAGCAAAATGCATCCATTGATTCTAAGATAACAAAACAATGCGATCATTAACAACCTTGGATGTTTGACATTAGAATTAAAACTTATTGTAGTTCTTAAAACAATGGACCCAAATTAAACAGAGAAAAATTGAATGCTGACTAAAATTTGACTGCTGACTACACTTTAAACTTTAATTTAATCCTCAAACCTTGAACTTAGTTACCACAATTTACCTAGCAAATTATGCCTAGCATGGCTATATATGAAAATATCTTTAGTTAATCTCATAATTCATTTTTTTATTGCAGCAAATTGTGTTTTGGATGCATCATGCAGCTTGAGATACTTGCACTGTTTATCTAGCCTCGTGACTATGTTATTCTCTACAATGCAGTACACTGAACAAAGTTTTCTTTTCATTAAATGTTTAACATATACTCACCAATGATATCAACTTTTATGTTTGCTAGTTCAAACAAGGGTTGCACCTGTTCTGTGTATATTTTTCGACCAAGTTTTTTTCCTCCAACCGGATTGATAAAAACAAGTAATCTTTTTGGTCTGTTAAAACCTAAGAAGACATACGGTGAATATTGTTTAATAACTTAACAATAGTTAAATCTCTCTACAGTCACTCAGACTGTTGGTCACTGGGATAGGGTTCAAAACTTAAACAGATCATATTGATCAGGTTTCTTTACCAACTAAATAAAATAAAATAAATATTAAGTAAATATTGTTCTACATGGGACTTTTCTGAGGTTAGAATGTTTCTAAAATGTTATTTTTGGGGCAGTTTTACTGCTCTTCCCCTGGCACCATAGTTTCAGCACAATATGGTGGACTTTGTGGTCTTTTTGCACCCACAGCCCCAGTTTCTTGGTTGTCTGCTGTGTGCCTGCAATTTTTGCTAAACTTGAGAGGTTCTGAAGGTTTTCAGAAAAACTATTAAATAAAATAAATCAATCTGTTTACAAAGAGTTTGCTTGTTTATCTCGGCCCCCAAAACAAACTTTCTACTACAGGTCACTTATTAGCCAATAGCTTTTAATCGAGAAAAGCAGACATGCAAGATTTATGCCCTACATGGCACTGAGGGTTTCTGGATAAACCAATCCATGGGGTCATTATTGAACTTTCACAAACATGAGATTCACAAGATTCACAAGAATCCTTATTTCTTTTCCACTGCTTTAATTACATGTAGCAGTTTCAATTTCCTCTTTGTCAATGTTTTATCATCTTGTCACTTGTCGCAATTTAAAAATACATGTGTGTATATGTAAATTTATGCGTTTTCAATTGACCAACAAGGCTCATTGTTCAAGTTCCAGGGGAATATTGTTATTATAAGAGGATTTTTATTTAAAAATAAGCATGTACAGAATAAGTGCATGCAGTTTCCCTAACCATTCTGCAGATGTAAATTATAATTATTTACCTGAAAGGATATTTTGGATGCTATCAATCCATTCCTGACACAAAGATGTATCATCGCAATCAAACACAAATGTTTTATCCCGCCATTTATGTTTTCTTGTTCTTTTTACAGCGTAAACACAGAATGACGAACTTTTCAGTGACGTCAACTCGATTTCTCCTTCTGTCAATTGATCTGCCTTGAATTTATGAGGAATGACGGCAAAAACCTCAGACAAAGGCAATGACCTCTTGAAGCATGCATTTCCTGGGAAAAGAGAATGAGCTACATGTAATTAAAAAATCAAAAATAATCCTAAAAATAACATGCATGCAGGTATTATAGTGTTAATAGTGTACTCAATATCTCTGTTTGTATTGAAGATCATACACTCAATCTTATTTCCAGTTGAATACATTGTCCAATATTTTCTAAAGTAAATTAATAACTAGACTGTTTGAGACCATGCCACACTGGGAAAATATCAGTCTTCTGCTGTTAGGGTACACATACAGTGCTTCGCTGGTTGGAAATAAAAAAAATGTTTGTCTCAACTTCCAATCTGTTTGCTTCATCCCTTATTCACGAAGCCAGTCTTTTCTATACAGATCTTGATGTGCTTGATCTGTACTGTCAAGAACTACATGCACATATAACTGAAACGCTGAAATTATAGTTTCTTCACAAGTACATGTATGAAGCTGATGCTTGGTTCGCAGCTACAGATGAAGTAGTCTGGAATATTTTGAATGGCTTCAAATGTACATAATTATAATAATGCCATGAAGGGTCCCTGGCTAAGCAAAAATCTCAAATTCTTAGCCTGCCTTATCGTTGCTTGGCCACAGCTTATGATTGTTGAAAGTTGCTTTGAAGATCTAGAACTGAGTTTTTGGCCGAGAATCAATGACTGGAACAATCACCAATCAAATGAATCAATCAGATTCTTTTCTTTTTTTCGAGAAAATGAACAAATGATGGCCTAGACAGTTACTTCCTGAAGATCACTAGAATTTTTCTACCATTACGGCGAGCTACGAACTGAAATTCAATTTGAAATTCAATCTCAAACCAGGAAGATTTTTTTTTTCAAAACAAATTCAAAACAAATACTGTACTCTTGAATTGAATGGAAATCTCGAAAATCCTTTGAGTTCATTCCGCATCCACTATTCAGATTTAGCACCAATGTCTCCAAAATCTTGTCACTTTTTTTGCACAGCGTGAAAAGTTTGTATTGATAAGAAAGCCTAGCTGTAACCTTTAAAATGCAATTTTGCAATGCATCGCATGCATGGTTCGTATTAGGAAATTCTTTTTCCGGTGTGTGCTTCAGCTATGATTACATTATTACAAGATTTCTCACCTAATCCGTGTTCCTCAATACCAACATGGCCCCAAGACAAAGATGTGTCCGATAGGACAACATCAAAAGGCTTTCCGTCAACATCCAATACGGACTTCATCACCACAGAACCATTCGCCATGTTTGTTTCTTCCTTTGCCGCTGGGAATAGTGTCCAGGACCCCTCTTAATATATTCAGTCGGAAGCGGGGGGAGGGGGAGTGGGGGAGAGACGTCTCAGCCCGACTGCGGCCACTAAATTATCACAGCTGCGAGAAAAATGAAGGCAAAAGTTGTAAAATTCATTTAGGGCAAGATTTAAACGTTGTGTCAAGATTTTAAAAATTGCGTGACAGGGTCGATTTCTGATTAGTTTCAAGCATTGCCTCAGAAACTGCAAAGAAAAAAAAGGAAACAAACTTGGTCACGTTTTTGATTCAGAGCCAAGAAGAACGGAAGGAGTTAGTTTCAGGGGCGCCAGACATGAATTGATGGTTCACTTAAGTGTAGCACGAAGTTCAATGCTTCTCTTCATTCTTTTTGTTGTTGTTGTTGTTTGTTTGTTTTTGCAGGAGTACGTGAAAAGAAAGCTTCTTGTTTCTTGAAATTGAGACAATGGACTAAATCCTAGCCATGTCACGCAATCTTTGACGAAACGTCGCGTCCGTAGCTCCACACCTCAACACCAGCCACTTTCTGTCTTTCAGGTTTTTCTTTTCTTTTCTTTTCTTTTCTTTTCTTTTCTTTTTGTTTTTTTCAGCCGAACGCTGAAAACCTCAGTCATTGAAGTGTTTTAGCACCTAGTTATATGACGGCGCTTATATAGCGTAAACCTTCTACGTTTTTACGTGAAACATCTGGCCAATCAAAACGAACATGATCGCATGTTACTAAAAGGTGCTTAATCGCCTCACTCGGGTTGCATTGTGGGTAATTCAAAATGGCGATAACTGAGCGGGTCGATCGGCGAAGCGTTTCCCAAACATGAGCGATAAACAAAGGAATCAGCTCTTTTCTGCATCGTCCAAAGGTACGATTCTTTATCTTGGCTAATAGCTTTAGTGTGCCTTACTTTAATGCTTACGATCGACCTTTCGATTTTTGTTTGATTGGCGAGTCCGGGGCGGTGCTTCTAGAATTTCGCCCCAACGTTATTGTCAAAATTTTTCCTCGATAGCTAATCTGTTTTCTCCAAGTCCGTGGACAGGAAATAACATTTGCACACACCCAGATGTGTGTGGAGAAAGGGCAATTAACGTCACTTTCCTAACTCGCCATGGCGACTTATCCATCACAAGAAAAACGCTGCAGAAGCGACTTCCAAGATTCTGTTACATTTCTTCTTTAGTGCCATAAAATTATTAACCGTGCGATTAAATTGTGGACAAGTTCCCTCTAGAAAGCTGCAGTACCGTTGAAAATTGCTTTTGTGTCCAAGATTGCTGAGATTCAACGGATTAACTATCAGAGAAGTAGGAATTTCCGAGTCGCTGTGGACATTCGAATCATTAGTTTAGGTTGAGGTTCAAGTTCAAATTTTGCTTCGTAATTTGTAGGCGACCAAGTTGTCGAGTGAAGTGAAGTTGGGGCTGCTCTATGGCTTGAAGCTTTGTGCTGTTACCCAGGATCTAAAAAATCGGGGATGAAGAAAATTAAACGAGCTCTCTCATTGAAAGGCAAGGGAGTTGATGACACGCTTTCGGAGCTCGCCGAGCAAATGTCCCTCGATGTGAACGGCAAAGACAATGGTGAGTTGGTTTGTCATATTATATTATCGCTTACTTGCAAATCATGTGTAAGCTACAGATTAATCGATGTTTTTAGAAGTGTATCATACTGGCTAGTGGTTCAAATAACATTCACTTCTATTCATTAAAATTGTAGCTTTATTAGCCGTAGATAATTTTTTATTTGCAAATATTTGTAGCAAGTGACATTGAAGGTCGAAAAGCGTCGGTTGTAAGAGATCTGTTTGACGCTCGATTTCGATCAATATAACTTAAGCTTCACCTAAAACCCGTGTTATGTAAGACTTGTGCGGGTTTAAACGACACACAGATAAAGTGCATTTGTAGACTTGATCAACAAGTTTGATATTGGCGTGTACGTATGATACTGTGTTCAACAAGTGTAGGAAACTTCAAACTATATAATTTCTTATGTCTGATTGAAGCGTTGTTGTTTAATAACACGCAAGAGAATTGAAATTACTTCATGTTTATAGGATAGACGGTTGAGTAAACATAAAAGTGATTTGATTTTCCTTTACGCGATTGTTTTTCACAATATGTGTGCATTTATTGTAGATTTTATTCTGCCTTTCGTATAAAACACTTTCTTGCTCTCGTAACAGGAGCTACAAACACCTTCTGACAAAGGACGTCTATGATGTATTCCTCTCTGAGGAAGAATTCCGATTTTTTTTGTGGTATTAGCATAATTTTCTGTCAATATTTGCGGTACATTTAGCTAGTCGCAAAAATAATAAACAGATCACATTGGATCGGAGATGATGTTGGATTCTGTTCCTTGTACACAAAGGTTAAAGGTGTCGTTCGCTTGAACACAGAATACGTTTAAAAAAACACTGGTCAATGTACTTGTTGTAAAGCGAATAATTTGCAGTCGACTTCTTTGTCCCCCAAATATTTTCGTTGGATAAATTTAGAAGATTTCGGTTGTCAATACTAGTATTACATGTACTTCCATTTGCTTTTAGGAGCAATTAACAATGACATGGAATAAATTGCAGGCCCATAAAATATACTGTTTCTTTTGCAAAAAACTTCATCATTAACTTTGACGTCGAAGATATTAATAATGCATATTTGTGAAATAAGAAAAATAAGTTTGACTTAAATTTTATTTCTCCAGTGACTTTGGAAGATAAGATAAAAGATTTTCAAATTTGGTGTTTTTCTTCAAATCTGTTTTCTTTTTCAAATGAGATACTTGACATTTACAAGTATTAATATTGACAGTGCATTCCCAAAAAATAAATACATACATTTAAATAGACGATATACTTTGTTCTTTCTTTTACGTAAAATTTAACCTTTTATCTCTTTAAAGAATTTGTCAATAATTTTCTTTAAGTGTCAGTGTTTCTGGCATGGACTGTTGTTTGCTTTCCTTAGAACTTTTTAGCAACTTTTTTTTCCTCACTGTAGAATTAACAAACAAATTGTATATATACTTTTAGCATTAACTTGCTTTGACACATCTGCATGCAACTGTACGTATTTAGCAGAATGTGAATGTAAAATGGCATTGACTTTGCAATAATGAATCGTGAAACAATTGTCTGGTCTCTCTAGACGAGAATCACCTCTCGTGACACTATTGTCTTCAAGGGATGGTTCTCATGTGAAGCCACTAATACAGTTGTAAGAGTGGAAATCAATGATAACATTATTGCCTTGATGTAAAGAAGATCAAAATTATTGTCAGTAACAATTGCAGTACTTTAAAATATAACGTAAAGATGTTTGAAAGACTAATCGTGCTAGTACATTAGGTAACATCACTAATATTGCACTAACGTTTAAATGTAAATGAAGCATTGTGTGCTTCTGTCATTTATATCAGATGTACAGTACATTGTAACCAATAAGCAAGATCTATTAATTTGCTTCTTTACTTAAGAGGTTTATCTGATGATGCCAAAGGAAAAAAGTACTTTACAAAAGAAAACAAATCTTGAAAAAAACAAGACTTAAGAGGTCAACCCTATGTAAAAACTCTTCAAATATTGACTAGTAATAGTTATCACTAAATCTGCCACCACTTTCTTTTATTTCTTTTGATCGAAAACAATAATATTGAACATTTGTGTATGAATTAGAAATTTAAACTATACCACTCATACTGTTCGAGTAACTTAGGCGTCTTACCATGAATATGATCCAAACAATCAACTAAGTTAACTAAACGGTAAACCAACACATTCTGTTTAACTCATTCTATCACATGATATTCTTTACATGATACTCTCGTGAGAGTATTTATAGCAGAGCATTTTACCATATCTCGTTAGAAAGGATGCAAAAAGTACTTTTAGAAGTACTCAAAAGTACTCTGGGAAAAATAGGTTGCCTTCATGGAAACTAATATTTCTTTTACAAAAATTTCACTCAATAGGACTTTATAGGGGAAAAAAGGTTAAAAATTATAGCGAAACAAAAAATTAAGTCAAACTACTCCGCTGTTCCAATTTGATGCTGAAACAAACCATTTGTCTTGAGATACGAGCAAATGTATCTCAAAAGCAGAATGGACATTGAGTTTGTTTTCCGAGGCATAAACAGAAGTATCGCATTACAGTCACCATATATGCAAATTAGAGTCAAGCTTTTTGACCTCAACGAAAATGCTGCAAAACATTCGCATATATATTTGGATCCCTGCAAAGTCACCCAGCCCACACATGAGTTCTACGCCACTAGGATTACTCAATACAAATAAGCGATCCAAATAAACGAGATGCCAAAGGTAAAACTGGTGATCGGAAGAGTATTCAGCTATTTGGTTGCAATATGAACCACACTGGCCTGGAATTTCTAGTATACTTCAGAATTTCTTACGATACCTTCTGAGTTGTTTTTCTCCCAAAATCCATCATCAGAATCTTTGAAATCATTTTCAATTTGTCCTAGATGAGAATC